TGAAAATCTGCACGAAAATCTTGTTCCATTACCCACCTACCTTTCTGAGCATGTGCTTTGAAAATAATGAGTAGTTTCCTAAAAAATCTCTACACCAAAATGAAGCCTACTAAATTTCTAGCAAGTGAGGAGAAATTTCAGGCAAGGAGAGGGGAAACAAAGGGCAGGAGAAAGAGAGAAAAGTTAAAGTCGTAAGTGGGGCATTACTTTTCAACCCCAAATTTTGCTTTCTGCACGTGCCCGAGATTTTCAGGCTGCCATTTTGCATTTGGATCGAAAGGCCGTTAAGTGTACGAGCTGTCAAGGGGTTTTTGGCAAGTTTGAGCTTTTAAAACCACAACAGTGACCCGTAATCTGCTCAACTAGCTTCAAAACACAGTTTTCCACAAAAGCTGCGGCCATTAATGGGTTAAAACATAAAATAAATTAATTATTAATTGTTTGGTTAATTAATCAATTCATTGATTAAGAAATTAATTAATTTTTGGGTGACCAACCTGGAGGGCTGGGCGCCCTAGTTGGAATGGTTAGGAGCCCAAAGGGCTCCCTGAAAATTTTCTTAGAGCACAGCCTTGCACATGTGATGCCAGGTCTGGGAATCAAACCCAGGCCACAGTGGTGGGAGGTGAGTGCTCTCACCACTGCACCATCCCTGCTCCCCTTAAGAGAGATGAATATCTAATTTCTCCTGACAGTATCAGCACAGAATCACACAATAAGGTCATGAGACTAAAAGAAATGATCACCAATCAAAGAAGCTCTCGATTCTGAAACAAATTTTCCTTGTTAGCACTTTGGGAAATGTGGAGATAACAGTATAGATAATAACAGGGTTTGAATGGGTCCTAGAAAGTCCTGGGATTCTGCTTAAATGAAGCATTAAAATTTTCCGAATCAACGTTGTAATAAATGTATGTAGACTGTAAGGAGAATTAATTTTTCAAATCTTGGGAATGAAAGGGTTCAAGGTGAAATTTGGAGTCCTGGAAAAATCAATTCGAGTCCTGGAAAAGTCCTTGTAAAAAGGGGATGAACCCTGGACTAAGTATACTGATTTTAGGGTGCCAAGGGTAGTTTTATGAATGTGTGCTTGTGCTGCACATTTTCATAGTTCTGGGTTTAACTTGTTTACATCAGAGAGAGAGAAGCTCAACCACACTTTGTGTCACCCAACACATTTGAGTCAGAATGGGCACAGAGATGGAGAGCATTAGAAGAAATGGAAGGATCTCAGAGAGAAGCTTTAGATAAGCAGTTTAAAGAAGCCCGTGATAAATTGCAGGGAGAAATGGATCAGGCTATTCAAGAACACGAAGCTGTGCTAATGCGACAAGGTATTGGCATTATAAATACAACAAGATGAAGAGTTGTCTTGACACAAAATGACAGTGTTTTCTTTGAATCAAGGTTGAACCTCAATTATCAGGACTCATCGGGACTAACCTTATTAGTCCCAATAATCAAGAATCCAGATAATCGAATATATCAATATTAATGTTCCTAGATAATGGGACCAAAGAAGCAAGTTCTGGATAGTCTAGGTTTGACTGTATATTAATGGATCAGTATTTTTTTCCTGATTCCCCTTTTCGTTAAGATATTTGGTAACAGATACTATCTATCAGGTTGATATCTTTTAAGTATGGGCTCTACTTGTGGTCATGTTTGGTTTCTATTTGAGAAAAATAAAGTTCAGAAACAATAATTTCTATTTTAAAGCTTATTACAAAATTTTGTTCTCTGCTTCTCTATGACGAAACATCTTCTGGAATTACCGTATGAAGTTTCTGAAGAAATTCATGGATGTATTGTGGCTTCTGAGAGAAGTGCAAGCTTAATGCTTACAGGGGTGTTGCTCAGCAGAGAGGGTTGTGATAAGTAACTAAGAAAAATTTATTGTTTTAGAAATTCAACGTCGTCAAGATGAGCTTCGTCGATTTGAAGAGATGCGTCAAAAAGAAGAAATGATGAGGCAAGCAGAATTAAGGCAAGGAGAACATTGTTTTTTTTCTTCAGCCCCAGAATTTTCCTTTTTTAAAGGACAAGAGTATGGCCAGCTAGTCAGTTTGTTCTGGGAGTAGAGTTGTTAATAAACTGTGGTAATCTGGGAACTAGTTTTCCAGACAATTCAGGAAAGGGTAGAGACATTTTTTATTTACATAACAATGAAAAGTAGTCATGGTTTACCAAGATTGATGTACACCCTGACATGTGATTTGAGTCCATGTTCAGAAATTGTTCGAGGTTTGTGGGCACTTTGTGGGGTATTTTGATTGAATGGTTTCCAATCCTGCATGTAATATGACAATATATCGTGGTGTTCATGATAACCTGGCTTAATACTTTTTTTTAATCTGCCATCTACTTTCAAACTTATTGACAGCCCTGCAAATGTCAAACCCTGAATTACAACCTGTAATGGCATCTGATTTGTTTTTTTGTATGGTTCTTTTCCAGGAGGCAGGAGGAGATGCGTCTTCAAGAAGAGTTGCAGCGGAGGGAAGAAGAGTTGCGACATAAGGAGGAGCTCTTCCGGCAGCAGCAGCGAGAACTTCAGAGGCACCGACAAGAGGACATGTATCTGCAGGTTGATATTTTTTCTTGGATAAAATAATGCTTGGTTTATTTCTATGAGATAATGCCAGGTTTGTTTACAGTTTATTTTGGCTCAGCCTGGCAAGGGATCTTATTTATGGACCTGTGCACTGTTGTTGTTTCACCATGGCCCTTCTCCAACTCGAGCATCTCAAGTTGGAGAGCAAATTGAGCATCTCAATTTTTTATAACATTTGAGCATCATGGGTTCATCCATGCCCACCCTTCCCCTCTCCCGTAGCAGATCGTTACAGTTTTTCTCTTATCCATGTACATCGTTGCATTTTCGCCTCAGGATTCTATGCGGCGCATGGATGCAAACATGCCACCAGGAATGCCTCCCATGGTATGCTTTCCACATCCATTGTGCTTTCTGTTTGTACATTGGTTGTAGTCCTTGGTTCAGTTAATTTGCCACTGCTTTAAAAAGCATTTGGTACATTGTGGATACAGTTTTGCATGTTTGTCAAGGATGTGTAATGCATGGGAACTGCACTCCTTGTGTAGCATTTGAGTACTGCAAGCTGTGCTTGGCTACAAGTTGTCTGAAAAATAATTCCATTACTCATCCAACGTAGTTAATATGGTGATGTTTCACCAGTTCTTTATTTAGCCTATTTAATGGATCAGTGTCATTAGAAGTGTGCATGATGTAAGTTAAAGTGATTATACAGTCTACACCTGTAGATCAACATGTTTTTGAGCCATTTTGAATCATTATTTCATTTATTCCAAATGCAACTAAATTGCATTTATATTATTCTAAAAGATTTTTTGGCTTGTGTTATTGATTAGTACACATTAAGTCATTGCTCCTGTCTGCAGGGACCTCCAGGTGGAGACTGGGGAAGAGGGCGTGGTGGACCACCCCCACGTGGACCACCTGGAAGAGGTGGACCACCAGGTCGTGGAGGGCCAGGCTTTGGTCCTCGGCCACCAGGTCCAGGGATGATGAGCCCTCCAAGGATGGGCCCAGGAATGATGCCACCTAGAGGACCACCTATGGGTGGCCCACCTCCAGGCCCTCGTGGACCCATGGGACCAGGGATGAGACCTAATGGGCCGGTAAGGTGTTAGTAGTTTTTGTTTAGGAGGAATTTGTGTTAGCTCTGTAACTGTTCATTAGATTTTGATTGATCTCCAGGGTTGTCACTAAGCACTGTTTGCACTGGTTCACAAGTGAAAAAAATGCCATCTTTGGGCTACCACACTTGAAATTTCAGCCAGCAACCTAAATTCCCAGCAAATTCCTAGTGTTCAATAGATGAATGCTGAAATGCAATTTTCTAAATGGAAGAGAAATTGTTTGTGAGCATGCTTTGTGAGAATTTTCAGTTGTATGAATCAGTTACAAATCAAAGTAGTAATTATCTTCCAAGATGTTTAGCAGAACCAGTACTTTTTTTTTTAAGAAATCAAGTATAGGCCATGTTCGTAGTGGTATTTTCAAACAATACAAATGTGTCTGATGGAAACATGTAGCAAAGAAGTTGAATTTATATATATGTATTTCTATATCATTATTATCAATGCAGCTGATAGATTTCTTAAACTGAGATGTTTGTTACATGGATGTGACAGTAGAAAGGCCATCTTAGAAGACCTTCATGGTCACTAGGTTGAACCTCCTCTGCAGTATGTTTATTCTGATGATTTAAGTCTTGCCAAGAAATGAAAAGCAATACATGACTTTGCCAATATAATACTGGTGCCAAAAGAATGCTGGCATTGACCAACCCAGTAACAGGTCCCTCAGGGGACAAGTTGTTCATGGCCCCTCTTGTTATTGTAGGGCAAGAGGCATAGTCAAAAAAAGCTTCCAATTTTTTTTTAAAACACACACAGACATAATGGGGTGAAATTAAATACGTAAGAGCGCTATTTTATGGCCTCATCTAGGTCATTAGTGCTTCAGTCTATAAACTTGTTTTACAGCTTGTGCATAGTTCTTATATCATTGTTTTATTTTCTATGATAAAGAATCAAGGTTAAGGAAAGAGTTGCATTGAAATCTGTCATAATGGACAGGCTCAACCAGCAGTTTTTCAGATCTGGAAATCCAGAGTAACTGATCTGTGATGATCAGAATTTTAGTAGACTAAGAATATTGTAAAGCTGATCCTGTAGAATGTTCTAATGATATGTTTGCTTTCTGTTTTTGCTGCCATCTCCACTGTGGATTTGTTTGCTTTTGGATTTTCTCTCATGCATTGGATTGTTGGACCATGAACTGTATATTCTAAATGAATTATCATTGTTGAACTTGTAAAATAATTGTCCAGAGGCCAAGATTTGAAAATGAAAGGGAACGTGATCGTGAAATGGTAGATCGTGATCGGCTTGCCGCACGCTCACGAGAGCCACCTTCAAGAGACCGCGGAGATTTCAAGAGACCTCGTTACTAGGCAGGCACACACAGAGTACTGTTTTGTGTTATGACTCTATCATATTGCTGTTCTGTACAGTACTCATGTGAAAAGAACTCAAATGCTTGTTTTGAAGTGTGCAAAGTGATTTCCCTAGATGACATCAAGAGGGAAGGAGATGTCATAGTAGTTGTATGTGCATTATAGTTTTGTTGTGGAGTCTGGAACCATTTGAATTTAGCTAGCAGTAGATTTGGCCTTGGATAAAATTTTCCAGATAACTGTTGTAGCTGAGAAAATAATCCAAGGAGAATGAGTACTCAAATTTTTTTAGCTCTTACAGTAACTTCAGTGAAATCTTGACAAAGCAAAGGACAAGTCTAAAATAAGTTTTTAATGCCATTTATTAGTTATACCAGTTTTCTCAAGGGGATTGTTTTATGCTTGATTTTCATGTATTTAAAGTTGGAATCATAACTCTAAAACATGGAAAGGAGTCAGTTGCTAGGTACTTATGTTTACTTTCATATATATCAACTTCTAGATGCCCATGTATCATACATGTAGTATTTCAAGAGAGGTTTAATTAGAAAATATAGTCATTTAAAACTGTCGTTGTCTAGCTCTCGTCTCTGTTTTTGATTGATTCTCTGTTTACATGAACTGATGTTATTGTGATCTCTTTTCTGGCACAAATGGGACAAGCAGCAGTTGTGGCTTTCAACAATTAGATGTCCTTTTTTCTAGATGCATTTCTTAGTCTGTTTGGTTCTCTATTTTTTCTTTTTTTTCTTTTTTTTTTTTTGCAATTGATATTAATTGCATGAAAAAAAGTGCTTGAACACTTAAGAATACAAAGAAGGTAAAATTATATTGCCATTGAAGGATCAAAGAAAATGCATTGATTATTTTTTTTGTCATCATGATATGCAAACACAGAAAGTCCAAATTTATATTCAGCTGATGTTGGCAGATGAACAGCAATGTTTTGTGCATTGAATCCTGGGTATCTTGAGAGACTTAATTTTGAAACTGTATTTAAACTGAAGTTGTGAACATATTGTTAAGTTCTGAGTGTTGTGTCATTGTAAAATGATCTCTTTTACTTGTTTAGCTGGGATTTGATTAACCTCATGTTGGGCTAACTGCATAGAAAATCCATTCCATTGCTTAGGCAATTGCCTTGAATTAGTAATACTCATGCTTGAACAATCATTCAAGTGCTCTTTTTTTGTTACTGGTTTCTTATGGAGGGTACAAATTATTCAATGTAAATACGAGTGTGTTAGATGGGAAAACAAAGCAAGCACACCAGGTTTGGGTAAATTTTCCCTGACACAACACAGCTAGCAGTTGTGTAACTTCAAAAATTATGGTCCCCTCATTTAAATTTAAATTCCCCTTAGGATTGTTTTAAAAGAATATTTTCTCAAGTAAAGCTAACTTATTTTCCATGATTTAAGGAGTGGTTTTCCTTTTTGTGCTCCTTGGCTTAGGACCAAATTTTGTTTTTTAAGCGATTCTTTGGTGTTGTAATAAGAGGTGTCTCTCTTGACACCAAGTGCAAGGATTACACTGTATTTGCTTTTCAGATTTCATTGCCACAATCCTATTCTTGAAATTCTGAAGGGGAAATTGACGATCATGCATCAGTGGGCTTCAAATTGGTGATCTTACCTGCTTTTACTCCAGAACCACCTCTTCTCCCATGAACAAATTTACTACATGTGAGCTCTCTGATGGCATTTTTGTCGTCTTTAGTTGAACAAATTACAGATTTCCTACTTATTGTTCTTTACCTTTCCAACCTTTGTGTTTTTTTTTTTTGTTTTGTTTTCTTTTTTTTGTCCAAACCATCTGTTTCCCTTTAAAGAATTATATTTTCTTGAAAAACGTTGGATGCTTCATCTGGGAATAATGATGGACTGGGACTGAGGAAGGGCTGGGACTGAGGGAGGACTGAGACTGAGGGAGGGCTGGGCTCTTGTTATCTGTTAGTTACACCATATGCTGATAATGTTTGCTTCCTCTTCAAAAACTTTAATTATCAGAGGCTTTAGTGATACGTTCAATAAAATTTGTACTTTACATCAGAAAACGTGATTTTGTTCTTAGCAAAAGTCAGACTGGATTCAAGTTACATCTGCAAAGGGATGCAATTATAGTGATAATATAGGTATAAACATTGCTATCAGTCCTAATATACGAGCTACAAAGCCCTGTGATCTACAATCAACAACTGTTTGAGTGGCACAAAGTAAAACATTTTTGGTGTTTAGGTTAGTAGTGTTTGTCTAATACTTCTGTGCTGCTCTTTTGTTAAATTCATGTTGGAGAAACAATGACAAAAAAAACTGCTCATTTGATGGAAATGATTTGTATAATCTGATATTTAGTACAAAGATGTACTGCAGTCATCAACAAAAAGAATATACCATATTTAAATGGTATTGACTCAATTTTATTGTCAGAGACCAGGATCCTGAAGCTGGCATTGTAGAGGTTATGACAGCATTCAGTGTTTTGGTTGTTGGTGTATTCTTGTTTGAAATGTGATAAGCAATAATCCAGGATTAAAGATTTGATTACTCTCATAATAAAGTATTTCTTAGGATATTGAAGGGTTCTACCTGTGTTAGATGGAAACTGTTTGCAGAAAAAAAAATTGTTGGCTAACCTTCAGTTAGCTTAATTGTTCTATGAACATGGCTGGCCAGATGATTGAAACAGTCTAACAAGATTTGAACTTTAATTCCATGGCACCTTTCAAGACATACTACAATCAAAGGGTTGTTCTGGTGTTGAGTGGATGGCATTTTATTTTACCAAGCATTCAAATCAGACTTGTTGCAACTGAATCTCAACATTTCAAATAATTTGGGCTAATAAAAAAATCTCAATTTTTTTACATTAAAACTTTATTTGCTGAGGAACTAGTAAAAAGATCTCTTAACATTTCAAATAATTTGGGCAAATAAAGAAATATTTTTGATATTTTGTTTTATTTGGCACAGGACTAGTCAAAAGATCTGTTATCAGCGTTTCAAACAATTTGGGCAAATAAAAAAATATCCATGTCATTGACATAATACTTATATGTTCGGTGCAAGACTTGTTGAAAGACCTGTTTAATCTTAAATTGGAGAATGTCAATCTATTGATCACATTTTATGCATTTCAATTTTAATTTCTTATGGAAGAGAAGAAGAGAAATTTTATTAAAAAATGTAAACAGAGGCTTTCATGCCTGTGTTTTCTGTTTAAAAAAATGTGTCCAAAATCCTATCCAACAAAGAAAGCAGCAGATTTCCTAGGTGTGTTTCACAAAAGTGAAACAGTGTACCATTGGATGTTACAGCATGGAAAAGCAAGGTATGTGAATGACTTGTACTTGTAAAGATCAGCAGTTTATCTTTTCACAAATACTACAGTACAGTAGCAAGCAAAGACACATAAGCAGAGTAAGCAGTAGTCAGCTTGCTGATCCCTAGGCCAAAGATTTAGTTAGGTAAACTTAAACTTTTGTATAAATTTATTAGTATTTCTGGGGACAATAGTTTAAATTTCTGACCAGAAATAGTTGCACCAAGTTGAAATAATAATTGTACTTGATGGCCTTAGTTTTGGTAAGACACAAATTTTCTGCTCTCGATATTTTTGTTTTTACCAATTCCCTTATTTTCTTGATTCACTTTCTTGATTGAACACAAGTAACAGTTATTTGGATGAATCTCTTATATTCTGTATAAATAAGTTTTAGTTGAATGCTCAGTGGGTAGGAATCTCTTACATTACAACAATACTTGTAGAAATTTTTGTTTCAGAGTTACATTTATGTTCGAAATGAATTTTGTGATTTTGGAAATTTTGAATTTTTATTCATCTGTCTAGTTTTTGACAATTCCTGGAAACTTGCTTGCCAAAAGCTTATAAACTGTGTATAAAGTTCCAGTTCTACTGTAAGCTACCAGCAATTAAGTAGTCATCAGCATTATCTTATGTGCAGCAAGCAGCGTAGCATTATTCAACTATTGCCCCTCGCTGGGGAAAGAATTTTAAAAAAGTTGCAGATATTCAAGTTAACCTTCATTGACTGGTGTTGAATGGCATATCTGCCGGTGTGATGCACATTACAACTGAAGGTAATGTATAACTAGTTTTTCACTCTCATTACTGAAATTTAGCCTCTTCCAAAAGCTTTACCTTGCCTCGCTCCTGTATCAAACAGTCATGACAAAATAAGCTAGAATGAGGTATACTTATTACGGTGGCCAATTTACAATTTCAACTTAGTTGATATAACCAAGTTACCTTGTTACCCCCACCGACGCAGTACCACGGTCTCTTTAGAAACTTTCAGCCTTTATTATAGTTATTAAAATCAGGGTCAAGAGGGTTTCCTAAACTGTTTTAAATGGTAGCCGTCCTTCTGAGCTTCCTTCAACATTGCTGTATTTCAAGGAACAGAGATTGAATAAGCTCATAAGAATCTTTTGGTAGGTTTGTAATATCGAGAAAGCTGTCAGCCTCATATACCTCTTTATGTATTCGATGGCCTCAGTCACTGGCAATGAAGTTTTCTTTATAGACTTTCATTTACTTTTTGAAGTGTACTCTATAGCTTACAGTATGAGTTAAGGCAATGTGACCTGATATGTTGCTTGAGCATTGTTTGTAGTCAAGGTTCTGTCAGTACTCTGACATATGTATCACAAAATTGTCAATTACCCAAGGTGGAACAAAAACCACTTTTTTGTTTCCAATCAATAAATCATCCTCAGAGTGATGAAAACATTAATTGTTTTAAATCACACTTGTAAAGTTTTGCTTGAGTTGGGTTAAGAGTGAAAACTAATTTGAAAAGAGCAGGAAATATTTTGTCTTACTGCAGAGTTATTTTTGAACTGTTAATGGAATTTATGAGAAGTTCCTATGATCAAAATATAAATTGTGCAAATGATGCAATATATGCTGTGACTTTGCTGGGTGAAAAAATGTGTCTGTTAGTGATAAATTGTTACTGTCTGTGTCGCAATGTGGTCACTTCAAACATGAATTGCAATGTTCAGACTGAATCTTCTGCATTTTCTGTTCTGCATATGAGCAGTGAATTGTGGGAATGCACACTACAGTGTGTGAGGCCAATAATACCACTTCGTTATGATTGTGTTTTGTTACGATGAAGAACTGCAAACAATTTTATGATATTGAAAATTCTGTTCTTTATTTGAGTAAATCTTTGTTTGTCAGGTGTACCATTAAGCAGAATATTAACTCTTAGAATATAAGGAAAACTTCAAAGGGATAAAGTTCAAATGAATGAATAATTTTTTTGTGCATCTTTTTTGAAGTTTTTGATGCTAATATTTAAGGGTGGGGAAAAAGTTTTGTTATTATAGCATGATTTTATGTCTGAAGTTGATTCTTTGTTCACACTTACCTTGTATTGCAGAGGTAATGAATTTTTTTAACATTTCTTGTTCTAAAGATTTGTTTTGTTATCTTTTGTTCTTTGTGTTAAGCTTGTTGTGGTCATTTGAAGAGCACAGTAACATCAACAGAGGTAAAAAAAATTGTTTTGCGTCTTTCTTTCCTATATAACTTTCAAACCAAGATTGCCTTTGATTAATTTTTATGAATGTGAAAAGTAACACTTGGCAATCGTTTGTAATTTTGATTTTCAGTGCCACCTTAATTTTGATCTAGACAGCTTTCTAACATTTTGTGGGAATAGTTGTACTCACACAGTTAATGATCAAATCCACAGATTGGAAGTTGTCACATACTCAGTTACAGGTGATTTCCAGCTATTGTTGTGTTTGATTAGCAAGGTAGGTTTATTTGTCAGGCTAAAATGTTAACCAGTTTTAATTACACCTTGAGTATTTTTTCAAGTGTGTGTGTGTGTGTGATGATGAAATGTGTTTTCATGATAGTGTTGCTTGCAGCAGAGCCAGCAATGGTTGAACCCACTGGTGCAGCTTCACTCAGTTGAACTCAAACCCAGCTTGGCTGGAGTCTGATGCACACATAGCAAGGCATATTTATTATTACATTTTATATCACTCTGAAATTGCTGTTATTCCATGTTAAGAGGAATCAATTTTTCACTCTCAGATGCATTACCCCATAGGGCTGGCATCCCCAAAGGAATACCAAGTTGAGAGCTGATTCACCATCAGTTTGTGAGCCCACTTTTTGGAAGAGTTACAGATGAAAGCTAGGGAACCAAAAGGAATGAAAGTCATCAGAGTTGTGAAAATACAGAGAACAAATTGTGTGCATTCAAACAGGTACATGATATAAAACATGTTAAATCCATTTCAGTAATAAACCTTTCTGTTTAGACACATTGAACTAATTTATCCTAATACAACACAAATTAGAGTAATTTATTGTAGACAAAAGTCTTACTTTAGTTCAAAGACACACAGGGAAAATATTTGACTTTTTAAACGACCTTAGTACGATGCATGATAACTTTCATCTGCCCATCAAGAAAGCCGAGTGAATTGTGGATATTGTGAAGTGACATTACCCGATTTCAGATAAGAAATCCCTCGTTCTAGTTCCCTTTCACTTCCCAGTAACGAAGTTGAGAGAATTTTTATTTTATCAAGATACCACAATCTCGTACGCCTGTGCACAAGATGATGGTGACAGTGTTGATAGTCTGAGGAGAAACTGCATGTTTTCTACCCTCTTAAAATCCCATCGATTTTATGTGCAGTGATGATATTGTACAAGTAAGATAGTGTTGTTTGTAGCAGAGCCAGCAATGGTTGAACCCACTGTTACAGCTTCACTCAGTTGATCACAAACTCAGCTTGGCTGATGTCTGAAGCACATATTGATAAAGTTGTTGTCTTCTTAACCCTCTAACTCCCAGAAATGATTAACTTGTAACTTCTCCCTATGATATCCATACATTATCCAGCAAACAGGTAAAGAGAATACTCAAACTTATCAGGTAGACGTTGTTACCTTGATTGAACACCAAATTCTCTTAACCAATTCACAAGGAAATGTGTAGCAGCTAGGGGAGAGAATTCATAACCAGATCTTGGGAGTTAAAGGGTCGACAAATCCTTTGTAGTCTTTGCGAAGAGGACGAAGTATTAAAATGTCATGAACACATCTTAAAGGAAACGTAATGTTGATTAACGGCAAAATTCCGCTGCATTTCGTTTTCCTTGCGGGCCAAATTAGTATCTTAACATCCCATAACTGGGATATTACATACAATTTTAACTTTTTCGTATTTCTAAACTCAAATTTTTTTTGTTTTTCTTTAGATCTTTTGACTGCGCGTGGAATGAAATGAGGAATGGCTCCATTTGACTTTACATTTGGCCGTTGTAAATTTAGCAGCTAGATTCAATTTTTTCCGTTTGTCTGTTCAGCATATTAGATCATAGATGACGTTGAAATGCCGAAAGAATTAAAAAAAAGTGTCTCGCTCGGAGCAGCCAGGTGTGTTACTGACATTCTTACCATTTCTTGACGTCTTCTGTGAACAGACGCACAGGAGCATGTGTTTTATTTGTGATATTTAATAAAACAGTTTTAGTTTGATGGTGATGACTACGTCTTTGCGTCTGTTTTAATAAGAACCAATCAAAATGCGTGTTTCATTCAGCTTATTACATAACACAACGTGTAAGTTTTTCTTTTGAAGTTCTATTGCAAACTCTGTCAGCACTCTCTCGTTGCTGAGGTGCTTTTTGAAGGGTGTGTCGTGTTCTCTTTGGGAAAGTTTTTTGTTTGGTTGCTTCAAGGCTCCTTTTCCTATTTAATGTAACCAATTCTCTAATGCCTGGTTGTGGTTAAATGCGCTAAGCTAGGAGATATGTCCACAGGCGGCCCAAGCTCTCTTTAAGAACCACACAAGAAACACAATTTGCATATCGATTTATAAGGATTTGTATGGGATTTTCTACAAGATGTCCATGGGGATAGTTAAAAGTGAGAATATTAAATAAAAATGGATTACCCTATTCTGTACGTGTGTTGTTTGCCCCTGGTGTCGTTATTTTACCGATTTAACTTGATTTAAGCGGTTTTATTTGAATCCTGGTTTTCTCTTCCAGGAGCAAACAACATACGTAAAGAATAGGGTAAGCCATTTTTGAGTTATTTTTAAAAAAAAAAAAATAACTATGTTAGCGTATAGATTGGTGTATTGTGGTGTAGTTTAATCTGATCAGCGCAATTTGGTGTATCTCTTAGCAATCTGATTGGCGCATCTTTTTTTTGGTGTATCTCAACGCAGTGTGATTGGCCCAATTTTTTGGTGTATCACAAACCAATCAGATTGTAGTATTTTTCGATGTCGCACCAATTAGAGCGTTCTTGCTAATTTGTGGTTTGACAGGTCTTCAAATTTCAGCGAATCAACGCTTGAGTCGGAGAGAGCGGTTCGCGAATTAAGGAAATGTATCAGTCGTGTCGGAAAAGTGGTGGAGTTGTGATCGTTGTACGACTATGCTTATTCTTCCTTCTGAAGGAGACTGAGTGGAACAGAAAAATTTTGAATCAAATATTACTTCAGATGTTGATAGGAGCAGTTAATCAGGGGTTCCAATTTTGAATTTCGCTCAAGGAACGAGGTAAGATGACATCTACAAGAGTTGTAAGATCATCTATTCAGTGTAATGGCTCATGTCCTTCGTGAGGATTTTATCGCTATGATCTGTCTGGATTTGAAAGGTCGTCAGGGAACTTTTTCTACCGATTATCGAGTTAAAACGTGCATGTTTTGTGTACCGCTCCTTCACTTACGACGCATACATCGTCAGCTGGAGGCCTAACACGAATTCAGCGCTATAGCGTGTTGTTTCGGAAAGGCTAGTTTTACTGACTCTGGTAAATCTTGCGCAAGATATTTGCGTAAATCATATTTCATTGATAATCTTTTTTTTAGCCATATGGTTGTTCCTTTAGCAGCGGTTGAAACGACCACCAAGTTACATTTACTTTCTGCGTCAACTGCCATGTTTCATATCCGTTTCTTTGCTTCTAAAAGTCCTCCATGAATTAAATATTGTTTAAACGATACTTTCCCGTTACAATTGCTTGTTACTTTTTACTCGCCAGTATGGATTAGATTTTTGGAGATGAAATGCCATTTTCCAGTAAACAACGTCATTTTCCAGTGAACAACGCAAATTTTATGACATAAATCTACCTCAATGAAGAATATTTCACAAGGGACAGAATGGTACGGTCGGTTAATTTTCCACGCAACTCTCACGTGCTTAGACGTTTTCTACCAATAAAATTCGCTTATAGCTAACCTGGACTTTACCCCATTGCGTGTCAAATTCCTGTAAACAACCTGCATTTTATCACGTATTTCGCACGCAAAGGGCAAAGTCCATATAGGCAACAACCAATCAAGTAGCCCACCTCATTATCCTTTGAAGAATGATACTTTCTCTTGGTTCAATCTACTTTCACTTGTTCGAAGAACGGAGACCGGAAAATATCTTTGTCCAGAGGCTGTAAGAGATAAAATAGAGCTTTCCACTGCAAATTTATATGGAAGAGTATTTTGAGGCAACCATCTGTTATTGAACAAGAAGCTGCACGGAGCATATATTTGGGCCAGATTTGTGGATCAGCGGATTGAATTGAATTGGTTCGAATTGAGGGCTTTGCTGTTTTAGCAAAATCGCTGTCGAGTGCTTTTCATAGTTTGTTAACATGGAGAGTTATGGAGACTAAGACTTCGGAACAAGTTGATGCCATCCAGGACAATTTGGAATTACTAAAATCGCCGGAGGAAAGGCGGGATCACTCAATAAAAAGTTGTATTTGAACACGATGACTTTATTTACAAGGATTTCTCTTGCTTACATTTAATCACAAACCTTTCAAGTTTTTTTGCCTCGGAACGATATATCACAGAAGGCATTTTATAGACCTCAAGTTTTTTGAGTGATTGAAATTAAAGGTATGTGGCAGTGACTTCCACAAAGTTTTTTTTTTTTTGGTCAGAAAAGTACAATTGTTTTGTTCGCAATATTTATTTACGGATGGTTTCAATCGCCAACGTTTACATAAGATGGTTTTATTACTGTTCCCAAGGGTGGTTGTTTTCATCCGTACGTTAACAATAGTAGTGATTCACAGTTTAGGTTTGTACTTTAAATAAATATATTTAAGTTCACTCGAAAGATGAGTATAAACTGTAACAAGCTTATCGTTGATGCGCGGCCAGTACTTCAAATCTGACTGACACTCGATGCCAAAACTCAACCTCGTTCCCTGGATATGCCACCACATTACTTTACGCCAATTAAAAACTGCACGCTATTGTGCATTTTCTTGCACAGGAAAATCCAAACAGAATTTCTGATTCTGACCCTTAATGGTCAGAATAATAACTAGGACTTTGTCTCTGACGAAGGAAACGGCAATAAGCACAATTTTAACCTACGAGCAGGTTGTTGTTTAGTCTCGTCATGCAATGTTGGAGAGAGAGATAGCGTTGCGTGACAAGTTCAAATTAGGGCTGTGGAGGGGACTGCAGGAAGCGTTGTACCAATGCAGTTTATTTTTGCCAACAATTATTCAGACACCAACATCAGTTATATAGTGTCCCATTTCCACCTACGCATCCAAAAAAATAACTCCTGCATGCGTAGCATGCCTATGTTTTAAATAGCCTGCAGTGCAGGCAGTTTTGGTGGTTTTCATCTTTCGAGTGTTTAGCCGCCATGTTGGATTCGCTGCAGACCGGGAGAATTGGGGCGAGAATGTCGGAGTGGGTGGGGGGACGGGGAAGAAAAGCCTCCCCCTCCCCCTTCCCCAATTTTTCTCTCTCCCTCCCACTAGCTGGGTAAACTTTTTACCTCGCCCCAACTCTTCACTGTTTTTATAATTCAAGATGGCGGCCTGAACAACCGATGAGAATATCCACTCGCCTCGCCAAAATCCGCCTGCACTGCAGGCTATTTTTTAAATTAATTTGATTCATTTTCAAACGGTCTGAAACCTCGTGCAAACTAACCACTAGATTCAAGTCTATAACCAATTGCAACTTGGTCACTTAAGTCATACAGCAGTTAAAGTAGTTTTCGTATCATACCTGTAGTTTTCATTGGCTGTTCGTGATATTTTTCCTACATCTGATTGGCTGTTGTAATTACCTAAGATTTTTTTTTCAGTTTTGAAACACTTTAAGATCTTGAAGTCACAAATATTATTTAAACATTTTAGCCATAAATACTGTGCTAGCAGTTCCCCCTTCTTGTTTCTACACATTTCTAAACAGATTAAACAAGAGATCTTATTTCGTGTGAAGGAAACACTCTAGTTAACTTGTTTCAGAAAACAGAGCGAAATTGTAAAACGGCGCGAAGGCAGTGGCCGAGCGAAAAGGAGGGAAATTTGGGTCGGGTCGTTGAGAGACGAGACGCGACCCAAACCTCTCATTTCTTTTTCACTCCTACGCAACCTTTTACTAAGTAGACAAGGCTACCTCTAGATAATAAATTGGTATTTTCTGGTCACCTATTTGGGTTTTATATTGCAAGGAGAGTTAGCACGGTAATCACTTTTATGAAAGAAGGGTTTGAAATGGCGATGATCATTTTCCTGTGTAAACAGAGTAAAGGAAGTTCTTAAGTTGAGCAACACAATCAATTTATCATGTAGGGATCCACCCTACTAGGTGAAACTTACTTCTGGACTTAAATTAGTGTATCAAAACGGGAAAGAACAGAAACACAGACGAAAGTATCTTCTATTCAAAGCGTATGGTTCAAGACGAAAAACTACGTTTCGTTAGATACCTGAAATCATTGATGCAATAACATGTTACACAACACGTCACACGCAGAAGGACTCGCCTCTGTTCTTGCCACTCTGTCTAATCATTCTATTTTTCTCTTCCTTTTAGAATTCCCCGTGGGTATTTTTGTTATTACATATCGACCAATGAGATTTGAATTGACTTCCTGTTGTCAAAACCTTGCGATAATATTTTCATTAAAACAAGAACAACAATATTGAAGAAACGTACGGTACAAGAGAAATCTCCGGGAAAACCTTGGAACCCTTACTGAAATCGATCCAGGGGAGGACTTTGAACAAAAAAAAAAAAACAGATTTATTGTGAAATAAGTATGACGTGGAAGATCTTCCATTCAAGCAGATGTCATTGCTCTTTGATTACTCACAACAGGTTTCTTTTGCTCCAAATGGAAATTGATTTCATTTCAAGAGGTTCCTAATGTTCGAAAAGGAAAGCCTATTTGGGTGACGAGTATCTCGGTGAGGATGGTGTTTTTTTCGTGACATTAGCTTACTTTTCTAATAGCACCCTTCTGATTTCGTTTATATTTTCATCTTCATAATTTTTGATCGAAGTCTATTTTATCTCACTCCATCTAAACGTTTACTTGTTCCAGGAATAATTGTCCCTAATTGCGACTTGCAGGACGATTAACGCCGACATCCATTGCGTTGATATGAACTTTCATCTTGTTCTTAACATGGCAAGTGGTTTGTTGTCTGCGTTACCTCATTGGGGAGCTGGGTACCGCAAGATTATACTTGATAAACAGCTCGTTAACTTTACCCAGGAAATCAAACCAGAAATCGTTCATAACCCATGTCTCCTGTTATGTAACTAGGTGAAAGATGCAATTAAAATTGCACCTCACTTTTTCTTCCGCTTAGTAATACTCGCTTCATTTTTTCTTAGCTGACAAACGAATTTGTATTTGTGGACTGATATCATATTTTGAAGAGAGAGCTCTTCGGTTGTCTAGGACAGCCGCTCCATTAATCTTTTAAAACGCATTTCTTTTATGTTAAGTTAGAAACCATTTCTGAGATGTATCCATTTACGCGGCTGACTTTCGTAATATTTTCTGTCATTATTTTAATTCAGTTCAATCCGTTTATTTCAACCCACCTTTAATAAAATTTGCTGCAGACTTCAAATAAAGTTTTCCGCACTCACTTTTTGATAATGAAATCCAGATATCTTTGTAAATGATATTTAGCACAACAACAATTCATTTTAACATATAGCAGGGCGAGTTTGTCGTATATTTACAAAGCTTCGTTGACTTCCAAGTGCTTAAAAAATTGACAATGTGTTATTCAAAGTTAGAAGGCTGAAAAGCCGATGCTGTTTTCACAGTCCGGTCACTCAAAGGGTGAATGTATTCAGTTTCACCTTCTTTTTCACATGGTAAATCTTCTTCTTTGTTGTCAATGCTAGAAGACGTTTCTTCTTGTTTACTCAACTCCATTCTTTGCAAAAACCGGTTGACTTTACTAGCAACCCCTTCAAGTTCACTTTCATTAGCTGCACTACCTTTTCTTGGCGATGACCTCGGGCTCAGCGAGGTCGGTGAAAGAGATGCTCGCGAAGATTTATTCCCAGCGGTACAGCTTCCTCTGCGCGTCCCTGGTAGGCTTCCTGAAAGCGCTTCTCCAGTGAGTTTAGATGTATCAGCAGCAACTAGAGATCCCCCAGCGCCTATAGGCGGTAAAGACTGCCTCCTCGGTTGACTGAGCGGCGGGAGTAAGAAAGCTGTTGGACTGAGCGGACGTGTGGGACTTATCAATGTACGTTCTGTCAAATCGATGTCCGTTGTTCCCTCGGAAGAAATCCTCTTCCTAACAGCCGCCGGAGAGCGTTTATCAAGGTCGGAAGAATTACGGGGAGACACGGAAGCAGATAACAAAACTTGCGGAGTGCTATACCGTCGCGGAAACCGAGGGCTAAGTTTTTTGGCTCCGTCGCCCGGCGATGACGCATCTGGAAGACTCAGTCGATTCCTCATCATGTTTTCCGCGTCGGCGAGCTCTTTTTGAATTTTCTTCTTTTCGCGATCTATCTCCTTGCCAATTGATTCCCTGTGGTAATCAATGGAGTCGAGTTGAATCTTCAGTTTTCTGTCCGCCATTGAGTTCATAAACATTGTTTTGTCTGCGTATTCAGTTCTTTGATATGCCATGGTTTCGCGGGCTAACGGTGGAGTCAGTGCTACTCAATAATCGCGCGAAAGTTGGTCTCTGCGGTTTGTTTCGTGCGGAGATGGAAATTATGCAAATTCCCTTCAGTTTAAGCAAGGAAACTTTTTTTTCGGAGTGCACACCTGCACAAAAATAAATTATGTTTATGATAAGACATGTCACTTGGTGGAAACAATTAACAAGTCTGCCTTTGCGAGACCCGGCGCGGAAAGAATAAAGAGCTTTATGAATTTCTCTCTTATTTTAAAGTTGAGACGGTGAAGTTTAACCGCTTTTTAGCATACACAAAATAATTTAGAGCCCGAAAATTCTCTTTAGTAACCGGGTAATTGAACGAATATTTGAACAGGAAGGGCCATCGTTTTGAGTTGTAAATAGGGATTAGCTTGACGTGCCGTTTCCAGTTCTGCTCAAGATAAAAATGACGATTTTAACTCTCGGAAGCTTTTTATTCTGTTGGGTGAGATGTCTTTTGACTTAATTAAGTGGTAAAGACTTTAAGCCCCGAAAATTTTCTGCTTACAAAACAGAGCCATGGCTGGAGTGCTTAACATTCAAACAACGGTATCAAAGAGAGCGGTTTGACTAAAAATACGGCTTGTCTTTTTTAATTTAGTTTATTTTTTAAGTCAACAAACAGTTTTATGTAATGAAAAACTTACCAAATTGGAGAAATTATACAAACTCATTATCACCTTAAAACCGCCGTCCTTTTTTATCTTAGAGATTTGACAGCTTTTGAAAGAAAAAATCGCTAAGTTCCTGTTGCTTTATGAAAGAAGAGCTCAGCAGTGAAATATATATCGATAACAGTTTCTGATTAAATATCGTTTTGTCCTTAATTTAGACCATGTAACGATTACTTTTTCGCGTATCGGGGTAAAAGTAATCGATATAAGCGGAAGGCACAAGATTGGACTTAACCAATCACGGCTGTTAATGATTTTCTGTCACGAGCCAATGAAGATGCTGAGTAGAAATTCAGAATCAGATTAAGAAGAAATGAGGATTGGTGAGCCTCCGAAATCATTTCGCACAGGGAAACCAGGATTTTTTATCAGCTTCTTTCAGATGCAAAATGTGCAAGTAATAAATGTTTGAGAGAAATTTCTAGTCAAAAATTCACTTAACGAACGAAAACTGAATGAAATAAGAAATAATGAGACGAACGCAACAAATAGGCGTTAAGTCTAAAAGCCTCATCACTTTGTCACAACATAAAACTTAATTATCACTATTAAAATGCTAAAGGTTTTTAAAGACTAATCTTTTAGTATTCAATTTTTCCACACCAAAATTACTATAAAAGCAATTGAATGTTGTTTTGAACATTGGGAAAGTGTTAATTTAAGAAATATTGTCTGCATGCGACTCCAAGGCACCAAGAGAGCCTACAAGCAAAAAAAAAAAGAAAAAAAAGAAAAAAGCGATAGCTCGACGAAAGCAAAGAGTAAAAGTGATTAAAGTGGAACCTCTCGGAATATTCTGTCTTAGAAAGGAAGCAGTCATTAATGCGGTGATTGCAACGACCTCTCGTTACGGTCCACTCCGCCGCTCAGACGCCTGTATTAAAAAAAAAAACAAAAAAACAAAAAAAAAAAACAAAAAAATACACTTAACTCTTCAATCACTGAGTTGGGTAGAAACGGAAAAAGAAAACTCCGCGGATAAAATAAAGCCATATTTTCATTCCATTTGAGTGCACTATCTTTGATGTGGTTTGAAGTTGGTATGAAATTGTTGCTATGTATATGCATCAAGAGATTATCTCTTTTCCTTTTTCTTTTTAAATTTTAATAATGCGCAACAGCTGGCTAAATGGGTTTTATTTTTTTTTTAAACACCTTTTCACTTTTTCATCTAACAAAGGTGTCATTCAGTTGCTGGTATGAATTTCATGTATTGTTTAACTTTCAGTTGTTTCAGCGGTTGCATTTGCTAAGGTTGCTGAGGTCGATTACATGACAAGTTGGGCGACGGTTAACGGCTGATACCGTTCTTCTTTTAGTATTTTCACTTGAAACCACAAAGTTACACATTGTTCCGATGTTCTCAAGCAAAGACTTGAAATTAGAACTTTTAAATTTTAGCCATCACCTGTAGCCGTAAAATCTCAATGATAGGCATACCTGAATACTTGAAACTTGTTCGCTTGTCAGTTAATTTTGTGTAACTAGAACGTCTACTTAAGTTCGTTTATTTCGAGCTCACGATAAAGGTCCAAAGGCAAAACGGACACTTTTTCGCAACCCTATACGGATCAGTGCTTTTATTCTTTATCATATTTTTGGGGCTATTATTTCCTTCAGTGTTTGACAGTGCGAGTTACATCTTTACGGGATGATTTTGAATTCTACCCGCAAAACAAAATAGAAAATGGAATACGTGCCGGCAGGTAAGCAGTTCCTGCCCTGAAATAGACTGCTTTAACTTGAGCTCAAAAAGAGTCGAACTCTGTCGGTTTTCACTGCAATATAGTCTGATAATATAATTAAAGGTATTTTACTGAAGTGACTTAAAATGGTAATGGTTGGGTAAGTTCTGCCCTGGCAGACATGAATCGATGTCCGTGATAATCATGTGGGTTGCAGAGGAGGTTCCAGTTGGATTAATTGCGGAGTTAATTAAAAAAAAATTAAGACATCTGTTTCTACAAATATATGTATCTTGAGCATTTCAACCTTCTTTTGAAAGAATATATTCTGTTGTTGTTTTTCCATCCCTCAGTGTAGCTTTGAACGAATGCCAAACTCACTTTTCACTGTGAAAGCCCACTTCATGGCCCTTACCCAGTGCATTACAACAGATCACGGAATGAAATGTGAACCTAGATAACGGCGGAGGAAGACTTTTAGACGCCCACAGAGCTCTTAAACGGAAGCGGAATTAGTTCTTTAGCTCTCCACCCTGTGGTATTTTTAGCTTTTATTTTTAGCCTACTTCAACAGATTAACATGTTAAAAGTGTTTTCAAAAGCCTTGTATGGATGTACGAAAAAGCAAATGTCATAGGGGCCGACATTGCATTTAATACTGTGCATTAACTAACATTTTGTAAAATCCCTTGGTTCTTTCTTGAACTCTCCACTTGGGTTGAGTTAAAAACATCTCAGTTCAAGCACCAGAGCTGAAGTTTAATATTTTTTGTCAATGATGTGGTGACTTATTTCAAAACGACCACTGACAAGTTGTTACTCTTAATACTTGGCCACCATCGTTGCGACATCAGGGCAGAGTAGCTAACCAACACGCAATATTTACCACCCTCGTTTCGATTTAGCTGTTACCTGAAACTAGACGAGGAACACGTTGTTGCGACAGCTTCATACAATTCAGGATTGACATCATGTCTTGAAACTATTTCCGATCTTAAACGTCACATTCTGTGTAAACTTGTAGAATCTTCGTTTTTCGGTCTCTAGCCGCGCTTACGCAAATTCAACAAGATGGCAAGCCCCAACCGGTCCTAATAAACTGATCACATAGGCTGTGTACACCCGAGTGCATTCTCTCACAAACCTCGAGGTCGGTTTTGTTTTAAACAACTTATACATGGTCGCTCGTATTTTTATTTACCACATTATCTCGTACAGTTTGCTTGTAAGATGGGATTTAATTGACCAGGAGTGATATTTACATACCGATTTGCCACGTCTAAATTGTTAAAGTATTTTAAACAACTAAAGTGCGATACTTAAGCGATAAGAGTGATATTGACCCGTCTCTGGGCTTCAAAAAATCTTTGCTTTTGTGGATGGACTAGTCTCCGTTCTTCTTCTGAGGCACTCCTGTTTGGCACCATCTTCATTTATGTTTCCACGTATTCAGAGGTGCACGCAAGATAAGGGACACGATGGGTAGATTTACATGAGATCTTTTTAAAAAGGGAAGCTGTATCGAGCTGTATCGAGCTGTATCGAAACAAGATGTGTTAAAATGTTTTTTCAATCTGTTAAATCAGATAAGATGAAAACGTGTCGCTGGAATTAGAAGGAGAAATATTGTTATTTAGCTATGCTTATCGCAGTTTGAGTATATATATTGCATTTGGGATATAAATATTACAATTTGAACACAAACATGGTGACTTGCTGTATGAATATTATTCTTCATTGGCATACAAGTGTCATTCAAAATCTTTGATCATAATGATAACTGTCGCGAAAGATTACATTCTTCGGCTATCGAGTAAATGAAATGTGAAACACCGTGTACAACAATATACTGCTGCATGTTCCCGCTATTTTTGGACAGAATATCTGACAGCATGACTTATTTTGATGTTTCTTCTAAAAAAAGATACAAAACTGCGGGCAGAACTGACGCATGAAAAAAAAAAAAAAAAAAAAAAATTTATTATATAAGAAATTCTCTTCGTTCCACTAGCCCTGAGTCGTACATCAAGAATATTTTTCCAATTTTGAGTGTTTAATTTCTCAGCGCCCAGCAGACTGGGAAAATATATAGATTGCTCATAATCTGTGCAAATGTAACTCATTCCTGTTGGTGGTCAAAGTCGAGTGAAAGAAAAGCTCGCCCCCGCCTAGATGTGGTTCTTCCTCCTGGTGGGTTCAAATGCAACAGTTTCAACTTACATCCTGTGCATTTTTAAAATATGGAAGTCTTCGAAGCTAAACCAAGTATAACACATCAACGATTTCCGCAACAGATTTTAAGCGGAAGCGTAGGAGGTTTGAACATTCCGGCAGAACGTGAAAAAAAAAAAAACGCCCCTGAAAACCGCCCTCATGTGTAACTAATTAAAATCCACAAGTGATTTTGTTCTTGTCATATCCACACGTGATACTGTATCTTGCTGTTTCTGTAAACAATGTGTATAAGTATGTGCATTAATTCGACTGATTCAAAAAACTCGAGTGACGTAAAGCTGCCGTTGATGGATACTTTTGTCTTTTGTTTTGTGTATTTTCTTTTTTTTTACATTAGTTTCACCCGCTGCTTTGAAGTTTAAGTTCAAGTGCTGTATTATTTCTGCCCGTTCATATCTCAAACAAAAACAAAGCAACTATAGCATCGATCGATCATCGAAAAAAACCGACGGACCAACGAGAAATGTCTTTAATCCCGGCCGTTTGAATTCAAGTTGAAAGAAGCCATCTCTTGATGAAGCATTGATGAAAATAATACAGCGGACGTACACTGAACTCTGCTCCAAAAAATAAGACAAAAGTGATACAGTACAAAAGCAATCGTGACAGCCAGTTGTTCATCTCGTGACTTGCAGTGATGTTCCTGCGTGCCAGAACTTGACTTTTGCAACAGCCACCAACGAAGGGCACGATAGAAGATTTGATCAAAATATTGTTAATCGCTTTCTT